GAGGATCTTGAAATTGATCCATTCGGCTATGGGGACCAGTGGAGCCTGGCTAGGACTGGTGTGATGGGGTTGTGGAGTTTAGTATGGGTGAGAATGCTGGCAGTGGAGTTTTGGATCAGCTGGATTTTGTGTATGGTGGAGCTGGGGAGACTGGCAAGGAGGGCAGTCAAGGTGGGAGGTGACGAACGCATGAACAAGTTTTTTAGCTGTGTCTGGTGAAGGGGCAATGTGGCGAAGGTGGAGGAAGGTCAGGGACTGGATGTGGAGAAAGAAGGACAGTTGTGGGTCGAACCCAATGCCTTAGTTGTGCACTGGTTCAATAAGTCTGAGGGATAGGCTGGGGAGGTTGAGGAGATCAGAGTCACAGGATAGAAGACATTGACAGGAGCCATGAGTATGGAGTCAGAGCTGGAGGAGGAGAAGTAGATTTGTGTGTTATTGCATACATGTGGAAGTTTACCCCATGTCTGCGGATGACATTGCCAAGAGGGAGCATATAGATGAGGAAGAGGAGGGGGCCAAGGATGGAGCCCTCCTGTCGGTACACCACAGGTCACCGGACGGGGCAGGAGGAAAACCGTTTGAGGAGATAAAATGAAGGCGGTTTGTTAGGTAGGACATGAACCAGCCAAGTGCAATCCCGCTGAAGTGGATGAGGGAGGAGAAAAGACATGATCGACTGTCGATCAATTTTTTATTGTTTTGAAGGATTATTACCCCTGGAAAAGCGATCCGCCAATCGACTAACAACCGGGTCCTACTTACTGCTGGGTAAACAGAGCATGTGGATTAAGCAAATTTGGCCAACATTTTGCTTGCCTGGGAATCGAACCTAGATCCTCTCGCTTGAGAGGCGAGTGCTGCTCCTACCACTGAGCTACAGGACTCCACATAACAACTGTAACAACTACACTAAAGAATATACAACACTTATAACTTTGAATTTGCAATGGGAAGAAATATATTGTACAATATTCAGTGCTTAAAAAAGAATCCCAACAAAATCTGATGTAGCAACGCCAAGTAACCTTGAAGCATTCCACAAGATTTACTGTAAAGTGTAAAGTATATTTGTGATGAGCTTGAAGTCCTTACAAATGAATGGAAGGGCCTGGTTTGGAGAGAGTTAATTTCAGCAACTAGGAGTAGTCAGTAGTTCTGTCCTTAATCTGTACAATCGTTACTGAAACCTTGGGGTTAAAAAAAAGTTCCTAACTGTCCAACATGCAGTTCCCAGGGTGTGGTCACAAGAACATATGTATGTGTATGTGTCAGGTTCGCAGAGGCAAATGTTTGCAGGTTACATTGTGCATAGACAAGTTCTGTTGGAAACATTGAGTAGCTTCGAAGGTTCCTCAGGCTAAATGTGTTCCACATCGGTTTCCTCCCTCCTCAAGCAGCACGTCAGAGCAATAACTGCCTGTCCCCAGCCCACACCATCCATCATCTGAACATTTCTGTGAAGCAATTTGAGACATCACAACGATGTGATAAAGTGCTGTATCAAATGCAAGGATGATGATGATAATTATTATTCTCAAATGACCACAAGCCTGATCTGTGTAACGTTAGATAATCTTTAACAACAACAACAAGATTCCATTATAAAGCGCCTTTCACGTCAGGAGGACGTCCCAAGGCGCTTTAACATTATCAGTGAGACTATCTGGAAGGACTGATTTGACCCGGTCTGTCTTCACCTTTCTGCCGCCTTCACACTGTTGACCACTTTATTCTTCTCCACCGCCTCTACTCTCAGCTCCATAAAGTGGTCGAAGGTGGCAGAGAGTTTGAGACGGATGAGAAGAGCCCTGGTCACCAATGGTATTTGTAACTTTGACCAAGGCTGTCGCTGGGCTGTGAATTGGAGGAAGACTGATTGGAGGGGTTCATAGAGGGAGTGGCGGGAGAGGAAAGAGCAAAGCTGCCCTCTCTTTCTGCCCCCGGCCTCTTTCTGCCCCTGGCCTGCCCTCTCTGCCCCAACCTCTCTCTCGCCCTGGCCTGACCTCTCTGGATGTGGTTTACCTCATTGGTTGCCCTCCAGATCCCTCCCAGAATGTGAGGCTGGAGACAGTGAGTGTGGGAGGATGACTGATCTGAAGAGGGTGTCACACTGAGCCTGACCTCTCCCCATTGACTGCCGCACATGTACAATCACTGGGAGGAGGAGCATGACTCTGGGAGCCTATGACTGAGAACAATAACCTACATAATATATATATCTATATATAATAATAATCCTTGTATTTGATATAGCGCTTTTCACGTTGTCTAGACGTCCCAAAGCGCTTCACAGAATATACTGTAAAGTGAATTGACTGTATATTTGCAGGCAAAACTCAGCAGCCAATTGCACACAGCAGCGTCCCACAAACAGCCGTGGATTGATTTAACCAATAATCTGCACTACACATGCATAAATCACTGTAGATGGTAAGCGTGCATGTGATGACAGATCAAGACTACTGTTTTATTCAAAGCAGCCGGTAGTTTAGTGCAGGAGTAATGGAGGGTAGGGGAGTAATGCTATGAGTTTGGAGATTATTAATATGAATAGTGCAAACAAACTGAAGTGGATAAAATCTAAATCTTTTGAAAGGAAATTGAATGGGATTAGGGTGTATGTGAGACTTAGGCGATTATACATTTTATAAAGACTTATGCAAGTTTTATTGTATACCCCATAAAACACTTTGAGACACCTTCCTGACGTGAAAGACAATATATCAAATGTAAGAAGTGTGTTTATTAGATGTTTATAAGTCCTTTCAGTAAACACGTGAACTCTAAAATAAATATTAAACTGTTCCAGTAGTTTGACTAAAGAATTTGTGAACCAAGTGCTGAAATTTCATCCTTCAATACAATACAGGAACCACAAGCTCATGCATGGTTTTAATCAATACAACATGAGGAAAGCAGAATGGCATCAGTGTCCATCATATTATTAAATTGGGCAAGTTTCCTTACTCCACATGCCTCTGTTTACCTAGCAGAAAGTAGGAACCCGGTTGTTAGTCGATTGGCGGATTGCTTTGCCGGGGGTAATAATCCTTTCAAAAAAAAAATAATAATAACAATTTGGTCACTTCAATCCATGACTGTTTGTGGGACGCTGCTGAGCACAATTGGCTGCCACGTTTCACCCACAAAATAACAGTCAATTCACTTTACAGTATATTCTGTGAAACGCTTTGAGACATCTCAAAAATGTGATAAAGCGCTATATCAAATGCAAGGATTATTATTAAATTAGAAATACTGAATAAAACAGGCTACTTTATTATGTTATAGAGAAATGCCCTCAAAGTTTTTCATCTCACTTCCAACAACTGGTTCATGTCTACTGATGACCCAATTCAGATTGAAACAAGTTTACATGTTGATTCAATAGGATCCTCATGTAGGGTTGTCAGACATTCAGCTATTACCAGTACTATCAAGCCTGAAATTGGATATTTGTAATCACAGAAGTACTGATAATATTTCTATACACATTGTGAAAAACAACAACAGATTGCATATATAAATCGCCTTTCACATCTGGAGGCCATCCCAAGGATGTCCGGTGTCCAATTCCATCAGTAAGCAGGTCCGGGTGGACCTGTGAATGAGACAGATACATCTGCAGCACAACTGTTTCAGTGCTCATTACCAGCCTAAAGGGCATGTCATTACATCATCAATTACACACAAGAAGCTGTTCCAAACATCAGGGCATGGAGCAGCCACCCACCTAACCAGTCCAGCTGTCGACAGTAACATTCAGGAGTTCAAGAAGTTCAAACTCCCCCTTGCACAGAAACCACAAACTGCTGAATGTATTCCTGGAGCCTCTATAGTAGATTGTTGGGCAGCCCCAATGGTGTAGTGAGTAGCACAGAGCAGTTTACAGAGCAGCAGCTCACTCACTTTAGTCGCAGTCTGAGCTCAGATTCTGTAGCTCAGTGGGTAGAGCACTCGCCTCGCAAGCAAGAGACCTGGGTTTGATTCCCGGCAGGGCGAAACCTTGGGCAAGTTTCCTTACTCCACATGCCAGTATACCTAGCAGAAAGTAGGAACCTGGTAGTTTGTCGACTGACAGATCGCTATTCCGGGAATAATAATCCACAAAAAACAATTTGGTCCTGAATCTTTATAAAATGTATAATCGCCTAAATCTTACATACACCCAAATCCCATTCAATTTCCTATCAAAAGATTTAGATTTTATCCACTTCAGTTTGTTTGCACTATTCGTATTAATAATCTCCAAACTCATAACATTACTCCCCTACCCTCCATTACTCCTGCACTAAACTACCGGCTGCTTTGAATAAAGCAGTAGTCTTCACCTGTCATCACATGCACGCTTACCATCTACAGTGAATTATGTATGTGTAGTGTAGATTATTGATTAAATCAGATTTTATATGGCTTATACAAGTTTGCCTGCAACTTGGATTTTGCATAAGTTATATTAAATATTATGGTCCTGACTGATACACAGCTTCTGTGGGTTTTATTGTCCTGAACAGTGTTGTGACTGTGTGATTTTCCAGATGACTGCGGTAGCTAATTTGCATACAGCAAACCTCCATGAAGTAAGTGACCAATTTTATCTGAGAGATTGTTGGCCAACACACCAAGAAAAAGTTGCTTGTTCAAGGTTAATGTAGGTTAAATCATATTTCTCGTGTGCGCCTAACAATGGAGCAACACTGCACTGGCTGTTTATAATTCCTGATGTTATATTTAAGATGATAGCAATGCTAGTTCAAATTACCAGCTCATTTACATTGGCTGGACAGTCAGAGTGTAAGTCATTGGTAAAAGGTCAAATGTTGCTGGTTGTAAAAATTTACATTGTAATTCTTACATAGTAATTCTTTAATTTACATTGTAATTTACATTGTAATTCTTACATATCTTATTCTAAATTCTGATTAAAATCATTGTATAAAATAATTCTTAGCATATTTCTACTTTGCTAAAATGTTAATGAATTTACTTTTCTACAGATGCCCGTCCTGGAATCTGCTACTCGGGTCTCGTCAATGGTCGCTGTGCCAAAGACCTGCCAAGTCCCTATTCCAGAATGCAGTGCTGCTGTAACATTGGCCGCTGCTGGTCTGCTGGCACCATTCCTGAGATGTGTCCAATGCGTGGAACTTGTATGTATTCTTCATTCTTCACCATTTGTCACCACTTGTGAACCTGCTTTACAGCTGCCCGGCCACTTTGCTCAGCCTACTGCACGTCCCTTGTCCCCTCGCTCCACCATCAGCAGATGTGTTTTCAACCACTATGCTCTGAAGCTCTGGAACTCTGCTTCAAACCCTCCATCTTGGCCTCTTCTTGCCCATCTTCAGAAAGCACCTAAAGACCTTCCTCTTTGACCATGCTTACAGTCACTTCTTCTCTTTCCCTGACTTGGTGTCAGGCTCCTCTGTTGTTCAGTGCTCCACTACCCACATGTTGTTGTTGTACATGTCTATGTTGTATGTTTGACAATTACTAGGTAATAAGTAATTGAATCATTAAGTTACCAATGTAATATTCCTAATCATATTTGAAATTTGGTCTATCTGAACAAATACAGCCTAACTCACCAAACCCTTGTCAATTTTCAGATGAATATCGCAAGTTATGCATTGATGGTTTTCCTCTCGTGCCCGGCGGTCCTTCTGTGCCCAGGGTTCCCGTGCCCGGGGATCCTGTGCCCGGGGGTCCTGTGCCAGGGGGTCCAACAATACATGATGGAAGTCGACCTTATCCTGGCCCTCATGTTGGACCTCACCCCAATGGCATGATTCATTTTAATGGTACTGAACTTTAATTATTCACATTTTTTAAAACAATTTATCATAAATATCAGTTATCTAATTCTTTGTTTACTGCCTTGTTTTACTTCAGGCTTTCTTCCTTTGAATGTCACTGATCTCTGCAGTTTCTACAGAAACCTCTGCATAAATGGACGCTGCATTCCCCTTCCAGGGCAAAGTTACCGGTGTGAGTGCAATGTGGGCTATCAACTGGACACAAGAGGAGAATGTATAGGTATGCTTTGAAGTGCTTTTTTCCAACAACAAATAGTTTTAGGATTAGACCACTGTCAAGTTGCAGATCAGTTCTAAGTGTCAACGGGGCAGAAGCTCTCCTGCGTGGACTCCATTAGCACCTCAGGTGCTGACGACATTGACCTATATGGATGTTCATCCACCTCATGGAGTCGGTGTAGGTGTCTTGTTTGAGCAGAGTTTCAGATGATAATGGATTTGTGATTACTATTCGTTCTACAGTTTACCTCAGTGCCTCTGGAATGTCAGGGAATAAAACTCTGGGTGGTTGGTTCCATTCTAGGTGTTTGGTTTGAACAGTCTTCATAAGCAGCACAGTACAGGGTGCTTCGCAACACATTAATAATAATAATAATAATAATAATAATAATCCTTGCATTTGATATAATAATAATGCCAATTGTGCACAGCAATATCCACAAACAGTCGTGGATTGAAAATGACCAATTTTATTATTGTTTTTGGTTTTGGAGGGATTATTATTAGGCTCTGTGTGGAGTAAGGAAACTTGCCCAAGCTTTCCCGCTGCCTGGAATTGAACTCAGGTCTCTCACTTGCAAAGCGAGTGCTCTAACCACTGAACTACAGGACTCCACATTAATTGTAGAAACTGAGGGGAAGTAAAGATCAAATGCAATTATTATTATTATTATGAGCCCACTGCTATTATAACAATTTCTTTGTTATTATTTATAATGAGAAATGGCTGATATGTTGGTGATAGGACAAAGCCTGTTTGGCTTACACATGTAATAACCTGCTCCGTGCACTAGAGTCCACATTATATGAGAACATTGAATCTTTATGTGATAAATATATTTATAAATATATTTAAATGGCATTTAAATTTAAATGTAAATATTGGTTGAATTATTTTCCTGAGGTGGTTATGCTTAGATTGGTGTAGAGAATAAGCATCTCACGATCCCTGTGCCTCTTGTGCATTGGTAGATGCGGATGAATGTGTGAGCAATCCATGTATTCATGGCGACTGTGTCAACACACAAGGATCTTATTTTTGCCGCTGTCACACTGGATTTCAAAGCACTGCTACAAAAATGTGTGTGGGTAAGTTACGGAGTCAGAATAAGATTTATATTTGTTTTTATTAATTTTACAAAGGTATTTTTAATTTTGAACAATTTGAAGGTTTGTTGTTTTCAAAATTTGTCTCAATTTCTGCTCTTCTCTCCGGAAGCATGAACATAAAGAAGCCACATTATCCTAACATTCCCCGCAGCCCATTGAATCCACTAGATTCCTTATATAATCCCTGCAATTGATACAGTATATTTCATGGCAGGAGAACGTCCCTAAACACTTCACATGATAGTCTGTAAAGTGTAGTGACTGTGTATTTTGTGGGTAAACGTGGCAGCCAATTTTGCGCACAACAATGTCCCCATAAACATTTGGGGGATTGTTGGCCAGGATATAAGGAGAAACTCCCTTCTCTTTTTATAACGTGTCATGGTATCTTTGAGGTTCATCTGTGACGGGGTCTCAGTATAATATCCCACCAAAAGGACGGCACCTCTGACAATGCCGTACTGCATTGGAGTGTCAGCTATATGATTATCCAAGTCCTGACGTGGAGCTTGAATCCACAACTTTCTGATTCATAAAGGCTAGAATGCTACCAACTGAGCCAGCCTCACATTCTCTTCTAAACCCTCAGTGTCATCAACAACAGCAACAACAAAATGACAATTATAGAACGCCTTTCACGTCAGGAGGATGTCCCAAGGTGCTGGACAGTCAGGGGTCAGATCCCAAGCATGGAGAAAGGGTGGTGTAGGGGTGAGGGAAGGCAGAGAGGTGGGAGGGACCAAAGGCACGGCCGAAGAGAAGGGTCTTGAGACCGGCCTTGAAGGAGGTGAGGGAGGAAGCGAGGCCAAGGGACCGTGGGATGGAGTTCTAGAGTGTGGGGGCAGAGAGGCTGAAAACCCGGCCACTGATGGTAGGGCGGGTCGGGCGGGAGACATGGAGCAGCCGGAGCCTGATGAACGGAGGGAGCGGGCGGGTTGGTAGGGAGTCAGCAGGTCAGAGAGGTGGGAGAGGGCAAGGCCACGGATGGCTTTAAAGGTGAGGAAGAGGATCTTGAACTCGATCCTCTGGGGGATGGGGAGCCAGTGGAGTCGGGCGAGGGTGGGGGTGATGGGGTCGCGGAGCCTGGTGCGTGAAATTACACGAGCTGCAGTGTTTTGGATGATCTGCAGCTTGTGAAGGGAAGAGTTGGAAAGGCCGATGAGGAGGGAGTTCCCGTAATCGAGCCTTGATGTGATGCTCAACACCAAAACATCCATGAATACTCCATGCTTCCAACTCCAATCTTTTTTTTTTGCCGGGTTCAGTTTTGTTGGCCTGGACTTCAGGGCAACAAAACTGAACCTGGGTCCAGCAAGATAAGGATCTATAGAATAGTGATGTGCTTTGGGACGTCCTCCTAACGTGAAGGGTTTGTACAAAGCACAAGGATTATTATTATTAAATAGAGCAGGGTGGTCCCAAGGCCGTATCCAGCCTGGAGGATGATTTCATCCATCCCGCCTGCTCCCTCTCTACCCGACAAATCGTCCTCTCGTGGCAGTGGCAGGAGCTGGTGGTTGGGAGACGTGATTGTCAGGAGACCCACTTGGCTTTTCCTCAACTCGTGAGGGGCTTCCTGACAGACTATAGTGCATGGAGCTGCAGGGAGTGAAATATTGCTCTAGCAGATAGTGAGCTGGGCAGAGAGAGGGTGATTGAGAGAGTGATTGAGAGAGAGTGTGATTGAGAGAGAGAGTGTGATTGAGAGAGAGAGAGTGATTGAGAGAGAGAGTGATTGAGAGAGAGTGATTGAGAGAAAGAGTGATTGAGAGAGAGAGTGATTGTGAGAGAGTGATTGAGAGAGAGAGAGTGATTGAGAGAGAGAGTGATTGAGAGAGAGTGATTGAGAGAGAGTGTGATTGAGAGAGAGAGAGTGATTGAGAGAGAGAGTGATTGTGAGAGAGTGATTGAGAGAGAGAGAGTGATTGAGAGAGAGAGTGATTGAGAGAGAGTGATTGAGAGAGAGAGTGATTGAGAGAGAGAGTGATTGAGAGAGAGAGAGTGATTGAGAGAGAGAGAGTGATTGAGAGAGAGAGTGATTGAAAGAGAATGATTGAGAGAGAATGTTTGAGAGAGAGAGTGATTGAGAGAGAGAGAGTGATTGAGAGAGAGTGTGTGATTGAGAGAGAGAGTGATCGAGAGAGAGAGAGTGATTGAGAGAGAGAGTGATTGAGAGAGAGAGTGATTGAGAGAGAGAGAGTGATTGAGAGAGAGAGTGATTGAGAGAGAGTGATTGAGAGAAAGAGTGATTGAGAGAGAGAGTGATTGAGAGTGTGATTGAGAGAGAGAGAGTGATTGAGAGAGAGAGTGATTGTGAGAGAGTGATTGAGAGAGAGAGAGTGATTGAGAGAGAGAGTGATTGAGAGAGAGTGATTGAGAGAGAGAGTGATTGAGAGAGAGAGTGATTGAGAGAGAGAGTGATTGAGAGAGAGAGTGATTGAGAGAGAGAGAGTGATTGAGAGAGAGAGTGATTGAGAGAGAGAGAGTGATTGAGAGAGAGAGTGATTGAAAGAGAATGATTGAGAGAGAATGTCTGAGAGAGAGAGTGATTGAGAGAGAGAGAGTGATTGAGAGAGAGTGTGTGATTGAGAGAGAGAGTGATTGAGAGAGAGTGATTGAGAGAGAGAGTGATTGAGAGAGAGTGATTGAGAGAGAGAGTGATTGAGAGAGAGAGTGATTGAGAGAGAGAGTGATTGAGAGAGAGAGTGATTGAGAGAGAGTGTGTGATTGAGAGAGAGAGTGATTGAGAGAGAGAGTGATTGAGAGAGAGAGTGATTGAGAGAGAGTGATTGAGAAAGAGTTGAGAAAGGGGGGAGGGAGAGAGTGATTGAAAGAGTAGGGAGAGAGGGAGGGGGAGAGAAAGAGTTATTGTGAAAGACGGGAGTGCGACGAAGAGAAAGAGAGAAAGCATGATGAATATGGCAAGAGAGAGAAACAGAGAGCGGGAGAGAGAAGTGAGGGCAGCAGCTTCACTGTCAGGACAGACAGATCGGAGCCTCCCTCAGCCACTGCGAGGGGAGGTGTGTGGGTGGGGTGGGAACCGAGGACAGACACCAAGTGATGTGCCATGCAGTTTCCTCATAGAGAGTTCCTTCTTCCCCCAATGAGAAACCCCTCTATGTCCTTCATTACCGCCCTCCCCAGGCTCCTCCGTACTCCCTCTGTGACCTCCAGTAAACACCAGCTTGCTTCATGTCCCCCCTCACACCCCATCTGCCCCACCATTGCCATTTTGGCCTCGCTGTCTGGAGCTCTATAACTGGAGTCCCTCCTACTCCCTCCGTCCCTCCCTCCCTTCAAGGTACATCAGAGAACCATAGAATTGTGCAGCACAGAAGGAGGCCATTTGGCCCATCGTGTCTGTGCCGGCTCTTTGAAAAGGTCACCCACCCTCAACACATCACAACATCAGTCCCCTGTTTTCTCCCCATAGACCTGATCAAACCCCACTCCCCCGCTCTCTCCCCATAGCCCTGATCAACCCCACTCCCCCGCTCTCTCCCCATAAACCTGATCAACCTCACTCCCCCGCTCTCTCCCCATAGACCTGATCAACCCCACTCCCCCGCTCTCTCCCCATAGCCCTGATCAACCCCATTCCCCCGCTCTCTCCCCATAGCCCTGGTCAACCCCACTCCCCCACTCTCTCTCTCTCCCCATAGACCTGATCAACCCCACTCCCCCGCTCTCTCCCCATAGCCCTGGTCAACCCCATTCCCCCACTCTCTCCCCATAGCCCTGGTCAACCCCACTCCCCCACTCTCTCTCTCTCCCCATAGACCTAATCAACCCCACTCCCCAGCTCTCTCCCCATAGCCCTGATCAACCCCACTCCCCCACTCTCTCTCTCTCCCCATAGACCTGATCAACCCGACTCCCCCGTGCTCTCCCCATAGCCCTGATAAACCCCACTCCCCCGCTCTCTCCCCATAGACCTGATCAACCCGACTCCCCCGTGCTCTCCCCATAGCCCTGATCAACCCCACTCCCCCGCTCTCTCCCCATAGCCCTGATCAACCCCACTCCCCCGCTCTCTCCCCATAGCCCTGATCAACCCCACTCCCCCGCTCTCTCCCCATAGCCCTGATCAACCTCACTCCCCCGCTCTCTCCCCATAGCCCTGCAAACCAAATAATTATCTACTCTCTTAAAAGTTGTTATGGAATCGGTTCCCACCGGCCTTTCAGGCAACGCTTTCCAGATCCCAACAACTCACTGTGTGAAAACATTTCTCCTCACCTCTTTTCTGTTTCTTTTATCAACTATTTTAAATGGGTGTCCTCGGGTTACCGACCCACCCGCCAGTGGGAATAGTTTCTCCTTGTTCACCCTATCGAATCCCCTCATCATTTTGAAAACTTATTAAGTCTCCTCTTAACCTTCTCTGCTCCAAGGAGAATAATCCCGGCTTCTCTGCCTCTCCTGATAACTGAAGTCCCTCATTCCTGGTACCATCCTGGTCAATCTCCTCTGCACCCTCTCCAATGCCTTGACATCCTTCCCAAAGTGTGGGGCCCAGAAGTGAGCACAGTCTCGAGCTGAGGCCTAACCAGTGTTTATAAAGGTTGATCATAACTTCCTGACTTGTGTATTCTATGCCCCTATTTATAAAGCCCAGTATCCCGGATGCTCTTTAACAGCTGTATCTGCCTGTCCGGCCACCATCAAAGATTTACTATATGACCCCCAGGTCTCTCTGTCCCTTCACCCCCTTTAAGATTGTCCCATCAGCTTATATCGCCTCTCCTCATTCTTCCTCCTAAAATGCATCACTTCGCATTTCTCCACATTAAACTTCATCTGCCACTGTCTGCCCATGTTACCAGTCTGTCAATGTCCATTTGCCGTCTGTTACTATCCTCATTGTTTACTACTTTTCCAGCTTAGTATCATCTCCAAACTTGGAAATTGTACTCCCTATACCCAAGTCCAGGTCATTTATATAGACCTGGGTTCAATTCCAGGCAGGGCGAAACCTTGGGCAAGTTTCCTTGCTCCACACGCCTAATAATAATCCCTCCAAAAAAACAAAACAATAATAAATTGGTCATTTTCAATCCACGAATGTTTGTGGGACATTGCTGTGCGCAATTGGCTGCTACGTTTCGCCCACAAATATACGGTCAATTCACTTTACAGCATATTCTGTGAAGCGCTTTGAGACGTCGAGAAGACGTGAAAAGCGCTATATAAATGCCAGGATTATTATCAGAAACAATATTGGTCCCAATACTGACCCCGGGGGACACCACTACACACTTCCCTGCAGTTAGAAAAACAACCGTTCACCACCACTCTCTGATTCCTGTCTCCCAGATAGTTCTGCATCCGCTGCCACTGTCCCTTTAATACCGTTGGCTTCTATTTAGCTAACAAGTCTCTTATGTGGCACTTTATCAAAAGCCTTTTGAAAATCCATATAAACTACATCAACTGCACTACCTTCATCCACCCTCTCCGTCAAAAACTAAATCAAAAACTATCAGGTTTGTTAGACAGGACTTGCCTTTCACATCAAAACCTAACTCTTTGACCGCGCTTTCAGTCATCTTTACCCCTCCCATCCCACCTCTCTCAGCTCTCACCCCAATTTAGATGCCCAGCCTGCAGTATTAAGTGCTTTGAGATGTCCTTCTGAACGTGAAAAGGCTGCTGTCTAAATGTGTTTTTGGAAATACAAAATATTAGTTATGCGGCCGGTGGATATTTTTAACCTTTGGGAATCCGGCGCTCAACAGCCAAAAAGTTGTCCCTCCCCTGAAATAGATCTTGTTTTTTTGCATCAGTGATGTCCCTCAGTATTCTTGGATACAAGAATCTTTTGTTGCAATATCTCTTTGCCGTCCTTAACCTCTGTTTGTCTTTTCTGGCCTATATGTACTTCACAAATCTTCCCAGTTACTTTGCATGTTATTTGCCTCCTGTTACACTCCTCTTTCTTATTTTTTTCATTCCTTATTGATCCTCGGAGGTTCCTATTTCTCAACTGTGTCTTTATTACATTGTTTTTCTGGGAAATAAATCTGCAAACACATAAATTTGCAAACACTCAATAGGTTTTCCTGTTTTTCAGATATCGTTGAATGTGTTCAGAATGGTCAAATCTGTAAGCATGGGAGATGTGTGAACACAGAAGGCAGCTTTCACTGCATATGTAATGCTGGTTTTCAGTTGACACCGGATGGGAGAAACTGCATGGGTAAGTGGCAAAGCTGCATTCCTTTCGGTAAACCCAGTTAGATTTAGTATCTGAATTTCATTATATCATATTTAAGAGTACAAAATAGCAAATGTGACTATTATATCTCTCTCATCAGCCATATTGGTTGTTACTACATATCTATTTTCAGTTATGAAGGATCGTATTATTTTAAAATCCAATTCAATTTACATTTATGTAGCACCTTTCACGTCAGGAGGATGTCTCAAAGAGCTTGACAATCCTTGGTGCTTGAGCTGGAGGTGGGAGCCGAGGGGGTGAGGAAGGGAAAGAATACTGAAGAGGTATATTTTGAGATGGGACTTGAAAGAGGGGTGGGAGGGAGGGAGTCAGAGGGACTCAGACATGGAATTCCAGAGAGCAGAGCAGAATGATTGAGAGCTGATGGAGGAGCATGTAGAGCGGGAACATGAATCAGGCCAGTGCTCATTGAGCGAAAGCAGTAGGAAGGTTTGAGGAGTTTGCAGAGCTAGTGGGACGAGACCGTGAAGGAATTTAAACAGGAGGGTCTTGAACTCTATCCACTGCAATGGGATGATAGACTCAAGGAGCTCCAGCCTACACTGACCTGTCGCTGAGAACCCTGGAGGCGGAGGCTGCTTCACAGCGGGCACGTCTGTTTGCCAAGGCCCCTCACATGACCTGAATTAAGCAGCTGAAACTGAGTGAGTCTGGTACTCATTGGACTTGGACCTCGAGAACATCAAGGTGGCTAGCACATCACAAGCTGCCCTGTAAAGGTCCTCCCACCACACTGAAGACAGATGCCCAGCAGATAACTGATGAGGAAACTGAGGCAGCTGCTGGAAGGCATTACCTGAAGTTCATGACACATGTTCGTACGTCCAGCGCCTGGAATCTACCGTGATTTGCTGCGAAAAGGCCAGCAGCTGCTGCTTAAAAAACTCTGCACCTCCAACCTGTAGAAGCATCGCTCAATGGGAAGAGACGTGTGTCTGAGCTGTGGACAAGAAGATGGTGGCAATGCTCTCACGCATTTCATGTTGAGATGGGTTGCCCACTGGGAAGCTCGCAGGAAGACCCTGGAACTTGCCATCAAGCTAGTGAGGCTCAAAGCCACGCTTGTCGGATGTCGAACGACCAACTAGTGACTATCCTCCTTGGGAGGAGGTAAGCAGGATCTCCTGGGAGCTGAACTGGCTCCAAGGTGACGTGCTTGGCAATGGAATGTCGGAATCAAGCCAGGTCTCTGTAATGGTCTCTAGTCCGGCAGGTCCACAGTATTCCAGGGCACTGCTGACGAAAGCATAGCCCAGCCTGGTTCATCGGTAGGACCTAGAAGGTCAGATCAGTCACTGGGAGCAGGGAGTCATCCCACTCAGCTCCTGCTAACCCTGGCAAGTTATACGGTTTCAGCTGCTTAGACTCCAGAAGTTACGCTAACACCCACTCTGGGGTCCCCAAGCCTTGGCTCTTGCCAACCTGCGCCTAATATGTTCTGGAATTAAGTAAGTGGGATGTGTCCCTCCGGGGAGAGAGTCCACATTCCAGTCCAACAGTCTATCTCTGGGTTTCCATGTGTAGATGGGATACATGGAAATCTCAGTTTACTTTGGAAACTTTTAAGCACAGTGATGGGTTTCCACATGTGTCAGACACCCGGCTGAGCAAAAAAAATGCTTGAGGAATCAAATTGAAATTAAGACACAATAAGAAAATCATCAAATTTTCCATTACAAAACTTAAAACATTACAAACATACAATATTATTTGTAATTGCATCTAATTTGCTAAATGAACACAATGTTTCAGACCAGGATGAATGCGCCCAGAGAAACATGTGCATGAACGGGATGTGCATCAACGAGGACGGCAGCTTTAAGTGCATCTGCAAGCCGGGCTTTCAGTTAACAGCCAATGGACGGATCTGTGTTGGTAAGTTTATTGATCCAGTCAGAAATTGTCATTATAATAATAATAATAATCCTTGCATTTGATATAGCGCTTTTCATGTCAGGAGGACATCCCAAAGCGCTTCACAGAACACACTGTAAAGTGAATTGACTGTATATTTGTGGGCGAACGCGGCAGCCAATTGCGCACAGCAATGTCCCACAAACAGTCGTAGATTGAAAATGACCAATTTATTATTGTTTTTGGTTTTGGAGGGATTATTATTAGGGTCTGTGTGGAGTAAGGAAACTTGCCCAAGGTTTTGCCCTCTGCCTGGAATTGAACTCAGGCCTCTCACTTGCAAAGCGAGTGCTCTAACCACTGAGCTACAGGACTCCACCTTCACATCTACCTTCACATCTTTTTCATTATTCCACTGTCTTCTTAAAACCTGTATAAACATCTCAGGTATCTCCTTATCCACAATCTTGGTCACCACTTCAAAGAATTCGATCACATTAGTCAGACGGGATCCTCCCTTTACAAACCATCCTGAGGATCCCTGATCAGCATCTTCTCAATGTTCCACAACCACATTCCTTATTATAACTTCCAGCTGCTCCTCTATTCCCTGCTGTTCCCTGGCTCTTCCTTTTTCCTTTCTTAAACAGCAGAGTGATGTTTGCCCCTCTAAGTGCTCTGAGACATTCTAATTCTTTGATACAAAGACATTTTTTCAAAATTTCTATTATCCTTATCTCTCTTTTTATCTCTCCTATACTTGCGACGTCCTCCCGACGTGAAAGGAGCTATACAAATGTAATCTTGTTGTTGTATACTTCACCTATTTCCCAATTATTTTGTATTTATTTGGCACCTCTCATACTCTTTCTCGCTATTTCTCCATCTTAGTTTCCTTATCAACTCAGCTTCCCAAACACTTTAGTAGCTATGATATTCACCTGTACTTTGCCCAATTCAGCTGTAAATATTTTGTATACTGAATAGCCATCCTACCTCTTAATGTTTCTCCCTAACTTACCTGTGCCAAGTCTTCTTATTCCCATCAAATCTGCTCCTTTCCAACTCAGTGCCTTGATGCTGCACTCCTCCTTTTCTCTGTCCTTTTTGACAGTCAGATTATGTTCTGACTCATTGCCAGCACTAAATCAAGCATTGAATCTTCTCTATTTAGCATCTTAACATATTGTTCCAAGAAACAATTTTCAGTTCATTCCAATTGACCCTCCCCATTCTGCCCACATTCACCTCTCCCTAACTGTCCTCAGATAACTAAACTAACCCAATATAAGTCCCTACTATTCCTGAAAACCTTCCTAAATTACTTTATTCACTTGTCCCTCAATTTCCCTACCACAATCTGGGACTGAAATGACCCTGAGCAGTTATCATAATAATAATTATGACAATAATAATAATAATTATGATAGATTTAAATTGGCCATCTATTCCAAGGTAATCTTGGAGGCCACCCTTACTCCCACCCTTACCTCCTTCAAGGCATGCTTCAAGACCCTCTTTGACCGTGCTTTCGGCTACCCTCTGCCCTCCACCCTCCCTGATCACAATGGATCAGTATCTCCTTTATGTGTGACACTGTAAAGAGCAGGATATTTGAAGATCACACACCCAGAGTGACTGAATGCTTTAATGGGTTAGTTCTCTCCCTTCACCACAGGGACGTGACTTTGAATCCAAGCCAGACCAAGTAAATGAAACTTCTGCCTTCTTTCTGCTGCTTGTAGGGACATGAAACCAGTTTGAATAGACTGAACCAGTGAACGAGATCCAAAGCATAACTGTGCCAGCCATTCACCACAGATTTCATAATAGCTGTCACACCAGGAAAACCGTAAAGCTGCTGTGTACAAATTAATGGTGATGCATTCCAGGGTGCTCTGAGGTTGAGTTAAGCCACATTGTTGGGGTCAAATAGAACCAGCATAACCGTATTATAAGCCCATGTCTGGCCTGGAAGCTTGATGCTGAAGTGGGTTCCCAACGTGGAAAAGACTTTCAGTTCCCAATACTGCTGATGCCCTTACATTTGATTAGCACAAAAATCATCACCAAAATATTAATTTAGAACATATTAGTCAATTTACTAAGAGAATATAACAACTTGCATTTATATAGTGCCCTTTACAAAGGATAGCATCTCAGAATGCTTAACATGTTATACTGGAAGACAATTTCTTTTCAATTTAGTAAATGAATCATCACTGTTTTAAACAGATATCGATGAATGCCAAACCACAGGAATCTGTATGAATGGACGGTGTGTCAACACAGATGGTTCCTATAGATGTGAATGTCCTCCAGGGTTGGTGATTGGACTGGATGGCCGTGTCTGTGTTGGTGAGGAACTTGTTTAAATTAGCAACAACCTTCACAGGCAACTTTAACATTAACATGGTATTAATTTTGTTAAAATGTATTAAATCATTAAATCCTGCTATACACCTAACTTGCTGGCATCGATTACTGTGTAAAACCTCCTGCCCGGGGGTTTACACAGACTTCTGTTTGCCTGCTTTAACATTGGTTTCTTTCCAGTGTGGGAAATTATACAGGAATTCCTTCCTGTGAGTTGTATTGTACTGTTACCACAAGAGTAGATCTCTGTGCGCACAGTTTTATAGCTAAATTGCTGTGCGGTTTGGGAAAGTCCAGATTTACCCAGTGGGTAATGTGGGCACCGAGAATGGAAAGTCATTGCAGAATCATGTTGATTCATTTTTACCATTTTTGGTGCTGTGATATCAGAAAGGAAAGATTTGTTGGTTTAGAATTCAATAGGATCAGAAATCATGTTTCTTTGTTATTGTGATCTTTGATGTTATTTTATTTATATCTTCACAAGAATTCCACATTTCCCATATCTCCCAAGCTTCCTGCTGTTGTTCACCCTTTGTCCCCAAAGCCAGTGATTGGCAGCTGCTGATGAGGGTGTTCAGACAATAACCATTGCAGCTGCTAACCTGCCACGTGTTGACTGTGTTTCCTCTCTGATGCTGCTATTCAGACACACACATGCGAAGCACCTGCTACGGTGGTTACAAGCAGGGCCAGTGTGAGCGTCCATTACCTGGAGCCTTCACAAAATCAGCATGTTGCTGTGCAAGCACCGATTACGCCTTCGGAGAGCCCTGCCGGCCATGTCCAGCAGCAAACTCAGGTCAGTGCGATCAGAGCCCAGAAACCAGTGGAGTTCTGGAAGTATGCTATGTTGTCTGGGGGGCATGTTAGAGATATCATGACTACTTGAAAGATAAAGGGCAATCCTGCCCTTCCTTGCCAAACCTTTGGTACACGTTGTCGCTAACTAGCTTTGCTCTCACCTCTCTCTCCTCGAGCCGCTCCAGTCTGATTTCCTGTTAGCCCACAGCATAGAGACAGCACTCGTTAAGGTCACAAGTGACATCCTCTCTCTCTGTGACCATGGGTCCCTCGTCCTGAACCTCTCTGCATTCAACACAGTTGACCACAGCCTCCTCCTCCACTGCCTCTCCTCCCTCATCCACCTTAGTGGGAACACACTGGCATGGTTTGAGTCCTACTCAACCAACCACCTTCGCTTCATCTCCTCAAATGATTTCTCGTCCCGCCCCCATCTGGTCGCCTATGGTGTATCCCAAGGCTCCATCCTTGGCCCCCTCCTCTTTCTGATCTACATGCATTTTTGGCAATGTTATACTTTACAGTATATATTGTGAAGCGCTTTGAGATGTCATTGTGGCACAAAAAGCCCTATATTGCCCACAAAATACACAGACTCCATTTTACTATATTCTGTGAAGCGTTTTAAGACATCTCAACAACGTAATAAGACAGGCATTGTATCAAATGCAAGGATTATTATTATATCAAATGCAAATATTACTATTGAAACTCAGAAGCTTTTCATTTTGTTATTATTATTCTTGCATTTGATATAGTGCTTTTCACGACGTCTCAAAGCGCTTCACAGAATATACTGTAAAGTTAATTGACCGTACATTTGTGGGCGAAACATGGCAGCCAATTGCACACAGCAGTGTCCCACAAACAGTCATGGATTGAAGTGACCAATTTATTATTGTTTTTTTTCTTGAGGGATTGTTATCAGGCGTGTGGAGTAAGGAAACTTGCCCAAGGTTCGCCCTGACCAAAATCAAACCCAGGACTCTCGCTTGCAAGGCGAGTGCTCTAACCACTGAACTACAGGACTCCCATGTACTAATAGGGACCTCGCCGGTCTCCCCAGCTCCACTATTCAAAAAATCCAGCTCATTCAGAAATCTGCTGCCCGCATACTTAACCAGACCAAACTCCATACCCCGATCTCACCAGTTCTGGCCAGGCTCCACTTGCTCACCATCACCGAACGTATCGACTTCAAGATTCTCACACTCGTGTTCAAATCTCTTAATTCCCTGGCACTTCCCTACCTCTCTGACCTCACACCCCAATCTACCACCCAGCTCCTTCGCTTGATTGACACCGGCCTTCTGCTTATCCCTCACGCCCTCCGCTCCACCATTGGAGATCGTGCATTCAGCCACCACGCTCCAAAACTCTGGAACACCCTCCCTCAATCCCTCTGCCTTGGCGCCGCTCTCCCCTTTTTCAAGTCCACCTGAAAACCTTCCTTTTCAATCGTACTTATGGTCACTCCCCCAGGCTCGGAGTCAGGCTCCACACTGTTAAGCGAACCTGCGGGTAGGGTGCTATATAAATGCAAGTTATTGTTCAATACCCTTTCAATAATACCCTTTCAAAAATTACTGAGTACAGGAGAGGTGTCGCGAGACCGAAGAAAGGCAGATGTTACTCCTATTTTTAAGAAAGCTAACAAAAGTGTCCCAGAAAACTACAGACCAGTAAGTTTGACATCCATGTGGGTAATATTAAGGATAAAATCATGGATAAAATCATCTGGTCAGAAATAAAATCATAAATGATATCCAATATGGGTTCATGCCAAAATAGTGGGGTAATCCTGCCACTGTAAAAATCATTGATGAGACCATACCTAGAGTCTGTGGACAGTTTGTCGCCCAGAACAAAAAGGATGTTGGAGAAATCGAGACGATACAGAGGAGGGCAACCAAAATGAGTGAGGGAATAGAAAGACTGGACTATGAGGAGCCACTAAGTAAATTGGCCATGAACTGCTGGAAAAGAGAAGATTGAGGCGATACGATTGCTATCTTTAAGATTCTAAAGGGGTTAGACAATGCAGATCATGACGGGCTGTTTCAACTGAACCAGAATAGTAAAACCAGTGGACACGGCCAGCGATTGAAGCGGGTAAATTCAAAACAAATCTATGGGAACACTATTTCAGTGAGTGAATAATGAACCTGTAGAACAGGCTTCCCATGGAAGTGAAGCAGCAAGTGTTGATTCTTTCAACCACAGATTAGATCGTTTTTTTTAAGGAAATAACAATATGGGATATAGTATGTAGGTAATTCGGGAAATGTAATGATATAATTAGATAATTATTTGGGAAGGACAAGTTTGCAGGGCTTTGGGGAGAGTGTGGAGGCGTGTGGTTGATTTGAATAACTCTTTTCAAAGAGCAGCACAGACACGATGGGCCGAATGGCCTCCTCCTGTGCTGTATAATTCTATGATTCTATGATATGTGCAAGCAACTGCCAGGAAGGTGGAAAGCGAACTAGATGGACTTTGATCTTTTTTCGTCTAGTATTTCTTATGTTCTTATTATTTTCTTACATAGAACATTTGAGAAGTCAGATATGAGCTGCTTGGTTGCAATTCACCTTTCATCCGCTTCTTTTGTTTGGCATAGAAACCATTGCACCATTTGTAGCCATAATCAGAGGTTTAATAAGTCCTGGAGATGGATCAATGTATCTTGTATGTTGTGGAGACTGCCTTCCAGTTAAAGCTACAAGAGTAACCCAGGATCACAAGATGAAGGCCCTTCGGCCCATTTCATCCCTTCCAGAACACCCACCCTACCCACCAGAGCATTGAACTGCTTTTTAAATGAGTCCAGTGCCCTTGCCTTAACCTCCCTTTCTGGCAACCTGTTCCAGTCATTGACTATCTTCTGGGTAAAGAAAAACTTCCTGATAACTCCTCTAAAATGATTCTTTATAACTCTAAATCCATGTCAACAACAACAACAACTTGCTGTTGCCCTCCACGCCGGCAGGCGTCTCAGAGCTTAACAAGGGTGGAGCCCAAAGCTGAGCCGGGGGAGGGGGAAGGTGACCCTAGGCGCAGTAGAAAAGAAGGTCTTTAGATGCAACCTGAATATGGAGAAGAAGGGGGTGAGGTGAAGAGGTCGAGGATGGAGTTCCAAAGTTTCGGGGCATAGTGGCTGAAGGCACAGCCGCCGATGGTGGAGTGGAGGAATCAGGGCCTTGTTGCGTCCTAAAAAGTAATGATCTGGGTTTTTCTGTTTCAATCCCATTTAAAATATTATAGACCTCTGAAATCCCCTCCACGTTGTCTTCTTTAAGAATGGAGAGCCCGAGCTTGTTTAATTGTTGCTTAAAGCTCATTTCTCTAACACTGGGGATCAGCCTTGTCACTCTCCTCTGCATTGTCTCTGTGGCCTTGACAACCCCAGAGCTGATGGACAGAAGTATCTGGAGATGGATGTTCAGAGGATGAGGGTGTAGCGCCCTTTAATTGTTTAACGTAGTGCTCATAGCATCCTCTGCTGGGAGCAGATATTATTACGGGACCGCGGTGGGATACAAAACATTAATCGAAAGGGCTCTAATAGTGACGAGAGAAACTCCTATTTTCAATTTGTATCTGGAGAACTTTCAAGTCTACTGGAACAGACAGACAATGTGTTGGATGGTGGAATGAAACAGCTATTGAGTGTGTAGTCCAAGTTCAGACCTACATCTCACAGAATGATAGAGTTCAGTAAACAAGAACTTTACTGTTTCTCTAGAGAAAAAGATGTAGAATTGATGGAAGAGGCTACATTAGAAATAGACACTAATCAAATGATACAACATATAAAATAGATAGTAAAACATTCTGATTCAGTCACTACATTAAAGCCTGTAAAGCGTTTTGAGGCCGTGTATCACATGTGAAGCTATAGTTTTCCCCAGTACTCACAGACAAAATACACAACATCTGCCAGGCAGCCTCATCCGCCTGCATCTTATCCCCCTCACCCTCCCCATCATCAGCTCCTACCACGACTCGCATCTACATTCCTTCCTCCCCATCTGTCCCTCCTCCCTCTCACCCACCATCACCTCCATGAAACCCATCACCTAGTCCCCCTCCCCACCAACTTGCTGGTCACCCAGTTCCCCCTCCTCTACCCACTACTGGCTGATGTCATCAACCAGTCCCTCTCCTCCGGATCAGTCCCTGCCCCCTCAAAACTGCTGTCATCACCCCCCTCCTCAAAAAACCTTCCCTAGATCCCTCAAACCTCAGCCATTACCACCCCATTTCTAACCTGCCCTTCCTCGCAAAAGTCCCAGAACACGTTGTTGCCAATCAACTTCACACACATCTCTCCTCCCATTCCCTCTTCGAACCCCTCCAGTCCAGTTTCCACCCACAGTACAGAGACTGCGCTTGTGAAAGTCACAAACGACATCCTCTCTATCTGTGACCAGGGCTCCCTCTGCCTCCTTGTCCTCCTGGACCTCTCCACCGCGTTCGACACAGTCGATTACTCCATCCTCCTCCACCGTCTGCCCTCCACCCTCCCCAATCCCCTGGAATTTCCTCCCTTAGTTCCTTAAGGATCCATGGATGCAATTTATGCAGCCCTTGTAACTTGTTTACCTTAAGTTTTCACAGTTGTTTGGCAACCATGCCTTATAGTGACATGTATAGTGTCACAACTTGCCTCTGCAACATCAGAGTTCTCTTTCCAGATCCAATAAATTTCCAACTCCTCTTTAATAAAAACAGAGGCCGAAAAATGTATTTAGTACTTCTGCAACTTGTGTAGCATCATTTGTCATAGCCTCACCCGATCCCACCTTCAATGGCCCTATTCCATCCTTCGTTTTTCTTTTTCTCTTAATGTAACTGAAAACCTTTTTAATGTTATCCTTCACATGTCTTGCCATGTTCAGTTCCAAATGTTTCTTTGCCATTCTGATATCTTTCTTACAATTGTGGCATGCCTTCTGGTAATAAGTCCGCCTTTCCTCTGTTCCATTTTCCTTCATGGCCTTAAATGCCTTTTTTTCCTCTTTATGAGTTGTTTTGTGGCCCCGTCCAACTAGACAAGAGTGCTTTTAAGCTTGCTACCTTTGTTTTGCATGGGGCATGTTGATCCCTTGCATTCTGAATCACCTCCTTAAATAGTTAATTAGCCATCTTTAAACCTGCCAGGCGTGCTCTGACAAGACTTTTCAATCACATAAAATTGATCTTAAAATTTGTCAATTTTGTTTCTTTTTATAACCTCACCAATCCATGTAATACCAAATGTGATAACATTATTATCACTGTTGAGTAATTCCGCCTTTGTGTTGGAAATTTGATAATCCCTGTTACTCACAACTCACCTCTCCTGTTCTATCAAAGGAACACAGCTTTCCATTAAAATGTGTTTAATATGTATTCAAGGAACTTTCACATCCTGATCTGATGACGTTACTGTGATTGATGGAGAAATGGTCAGGTTCATACATTCATAAATTACGCAAAGCTTTATTTATATTTAAACTTGAGAAAAGCTCACAGTATGTCACCTTAGATTAAAGATAATAGTACAAGGTCTATGTCACCTCACGGAACTGTGTGGAGTCAGTTTCCTGCTCCAGATGTTAACTGGTTTAAACTGTTTGCTTTATATTCCAGATGAATATCATGCCCTGTGTAGTGGTGGACCTGGTATTACAAGTGCTGGGAGAGGTAACTGTTTAATGAAATAACTTAGTAAAGTATATTGTATAAAGTACTCTGATACACAGTGCAGGTGTGTTATTGCACGGATTCAGTTATAACATGTTTATGGCACTGGAGCCCATTCAATGCGTAGGCAAGCCAGCATGCTCTATCAGTTGGTTAACCTCCAGCTCACTCGTTTGCTATTGTCTTCACTTCCTGATTTACACATGCACAGCACCCAGGAAGTGCTGTCAGTGTCGCTTTAGCCAGCAGCTGTACCAGGAGCACAGTTAACATGATGGATCAACTTATCAACCTGATGGATCTCAGGTTATAATGAGCATCATTGTTAGTGGTTGCTGTTTCCTGTAAAGCAGTGAAATCAACATAATTTCAGCTCCTGTGAACCTGTAGCTCCACCTGAAGCTGAATAAGCCCGAACCTGTCCTGTGGAGAATAGCGAAGGATCATCACCCACTCCATCCCAACATGGCCTCAGACTCCTTTGGCCTTGAATTACACCAGTTTCTAACCCAGTTTAATAAGGCTCCTAAAGATCAATGTCAATACATTTATAATGTCTCAAATTTTAATAACAATATTCAAATCGGAAAAACAATTATAACAATTTACACATTGTGACTTTTTAAATGAAGAATTTAACCCCTGCCCACCCAATATAAATGTAAAATTGTAATGTCTCTTTTGTTACCAGTTTAATTCAGGTGTATTTGTGTAAAATGTGGGGAAACTCGTGTTGTGACAGATTCTCCCTGTTTCTCACAGATATAAACGAATGTGCGTTGGATCCTGATATTTGCCCCAACGGAGTGTGTGAGAACACCCGGGGAAGTTACAGATGCGTTTGCAATTCTGGTTATGAAGCTGACGTAACTGAGAAAAAATGTGTTGGTATGTATGAAGCAAGAAATTAATTGAAGCCTCTGAATTATAAGGTAGGTTAGATGATTTCATTGTTCAAACCACTAACCCAAGAGAAATTTAATGAACTTCAGTTGGTTATATTATGATAATAATTTTCATTTATATGCTTCTTTTACTTAAAAAAACGCTCAGAAAAAGCAATTTGTAAAATAGAACTGATTCAAAGTCCAGAGGATGTTGTTATAAAGGCAGTCAAACTCCCTGCGATATGCCAGAATCGCAAAAGTGTGAAACTGACAGACTACAGTGGAATCCGCTTTAGCTGGACACTGGTTAACCCCACAATAACAACAACAACAAGATTCCATTTATAGAGCGCCTTTCACATCGGGAGGACGTCCCAAAGCGCTGGACAGTTGGGTCAGGACCCGAGCATTGGGGCGAAATGGTCAGGGTGAGGGGAGGGAAGGGAGGGAGCGAGGAGGGGGTAGAGAGTCGAGAGCGGAGCTGAAGGCTGAAGGTCAAAGAGAAAGGTCTTGAGACCGGCCTTGAAGGAGGAAAGGGAGGAAGCGGCGAAGGCACTGGGGGATGGAGTTCCAGAGCCTCGGGGCTGAGAGGCTGAAGGCCCGGCCACCGATGGTAGGGCAGTTGGGGCGGGGGATGTGGAGCAGACCGAAGCCAGAGGGACGGAGGGTACGGGCAGGTAGGTAGGGGGATAGTAGGTCAGAGAGGTAGGAGGGAGCGAAGCCGTGAATGGCCTTATAGATGAGGATGAGGATCTTGAATTCGATCCTCTGGGGGATGGGGAGCAGTGGAGGCGAGCGAGGGCGAGGGTGAGGGCGAGGGTGAGGGTGGGAGTGAGGGTGGGAGTGATGTGGACGCGGCGCCTGGTGCGGGACAGTACACGAGCTGCAGAGTTCTGAATGACCTGCAGTGTGGAGGGAGGGCCGGGAAGGCCGGCGAGGAGAGAGTTCCTATAGTCCAGCCTTGAGGTGACAAAGGCGTGGACCAGAGTTTCAGCCGCGTGAGGGGTGAGGTAGTGCCGTAGTCTGGCCATGTTTCGGAGGTGAACCCCAGACACCGATTAAATTGGTCAAATCGCCAATTCATTTATATTCTTACCTATTAATTTGAGCAAAATTCTGCTTACTCCGGGTAAAATGCCGTGCTGGTCTCTGCTGAATGTACTCACTCGGGCTTCTGTGTGTCCAGCCTCCATTCAGCCATGTTAGTTAACATCGCTTCAAGTGAAACAACAATATTACATATTATTATCCGAGGCCAATGTCACTCTCTGCTGGGTGGGAATGGTATCTTAGTTACTCTCGGACGCCTCTTAATCCGGACAAATCAGCCGTCCCCAATGTGTCCAGGTTAACAGGCTTCTACGTATCTGAAAAAAGGCAGTATTTTCCATGGCGTATGAACTCCAGCAGCTTCTCCACGCACTTGCTTTGATCTAAAGAAGACAGAGCTTTACTGCATATAGGAGATTTTGTCAGATAAACAAATGATTTTCCCAGTCTCCACAGATGTGTAAACATGGACACAATATCTTCCTCTCCAGGGCCTTAGGTCCTATCATGCTCGGGATGGCGGCGCAGGTGGTAAAAGACAGGAATGGCGGCATTTTGGGAGAGAGCAGCTCAGTTTGGGGGCTAGAGAGGAGACAGCGGGGGCTAGAGAGGAGACAGCGGGGGCTAGAGAGGAGACAGCGGGGGCTAGAGAGGAGACAGCGGGGGCTAGAGAGGAGACAGCGGGGGCTAGAGAGGAGACAGCGGGGGCTAGAGAGGAGACAGCGGGGGCTAGAGAGGAGACAGCGGGGGCTAGAGAGGAGACAGCGGGGTCTAGAGAGGAGACAGTGAGGGCTAGAGAGGAGACAGCGGGGGTACATCGAATTGTAGAATACCTGAGAGTAAAGTGGTCTCAGGAGCTATCAGATCAGATCAATTGATGTAATTCTAAACGTGCTCCATAATTAGTTTGCTTATAACCGACTTCCAGCCTCAACTGTGTATTTAATAGGCTTACTACATCAGCAACAAACCTGTTTGGTGAGTTTATTGGATGTTATTTATTATTGGGTGGTCCTCCCGACGTGAAAGGCGCTGTACAAATGTAATCTTGCTGTTGTTGTTGTTATTTAAATAGCCTGGAGTTATTAACCTTGATCAGGATTCAACAGTAAGAATCTTTTTATTTTTCAGCGTTCTCCCTGGTTATTGTCCCTGGTTTCTCCCTTCTGTCGCCTCAAATTTTCAAACGCTCTCCTCGCCACTCTCCCTCATTCCATCTGATCCAATCCTTCACCACCTAAATCCTCACCCACACCAAACTCCACATCCCATCCCAGTCCTTGCCAGTCTCCACAGTCTCCCAACAGATTGATTTCAAGGTTCTCACCTATAAATCCCTTCATGCCCCAGTACCTCCTTGTCTATGTAACCTTCTCCTACCTCACTCTTCCATTGGACCCATTTGGTCAGCCAACTCGAGTCTGCTGTACCTCCCCTGCTCCCATAGCCACTGTTGGTGGCTGAGCCTTCGGTAACTTTGCCCCTCATATTTGAAACTCCCTCCCCTACACCCTCTCCTATCTTAAACCCCACCTAAAAGCCTATCTATTCAACCTTGTCTTTCATCACCTCCTCCCCTTCGTTTGCACAGCATCGCAGCCTGTCTTTGTAAAGCGCTCTGAGATGTTGGCTGTACATGTTGTTGTTGCCGTTTGTGGCCATGAGGCTGGAGCGAGTGCATTTGGTGTCCATGGATTCCCCTTGGCAAGTTGTGACCTTTGTCCCTATCTCACACCAGGTGGAGTGTGACCCCCACACACTCAACTTGCATGGTTTCTTGCAGTCGGTTTACTTTTTGCCAAATAATACAAATTCACTTGTTCTGTAGTAACCAAATACTCCGTAATCTCATTTGAACATTTTTCTAGATATTGACGAGTGTTTCCGAAAAAAACTCCTGTGTGACAACGGCCTGTGTAGAAACACACCTGGGAGTTACACCTGCTCCTGCCCAAAGGGATACGTGTTTCAGCCCATGTCTGAGACATGTGAAGGTAATATTTCTTTTATCAAGTTGTTTCCAAGGGGGGTTACCGATTAACTCCAGAGATCAGCAGAGTGGATGATGGTGATGGAGGGAGGGCTGGGTGTTGGGTTCTGCTATCTGGCCTGTGGATTCAGTACGATTTAGGCCACTGAAGAGAATGATCACAGCTATTGTATGTTATTGTGCCAGTTCCCGCAAGAGTGGAGGTTACAGGTCTGTTCTGTGTTTGCCACTATTGCCACCTTGTCAATCACATCACTAAGCGTTCGGTGAGAGACTGCTCTCTCCCCAGACTGCCTGCTTCAGCACAACTAAAATGAATTCCAGATTGTAATTTTCTTCCCGTCGACTCCTGTTGGTCAAAAGTAGTCATCTTTTCCAGTTACCCCTTTAATTGGCGCTCAGTACACACCATGTTGAGGGGGAGCCTAGCCCACTGAGGCAGACAGACTCTGAGTGTGTAGCTCTGTGAGGCAGCTCCAGGGCTCCACATTGCCAGCTCTGTGGACACCGCTGTCCTCTGTCAGTCAGACACTGTGTTACTTTGTGTAGATTAAACCATTTATCGCTACTGATTTTCACAGACTTTAGCAATCATTTTTGAACAAAGGAGAAGACTACACTAGCTAGTATATTTCTAGTGTAAGATAAACTAAACTAGTCTAAGATAAGCTAGTGTAAGCTAAACTAGTGTAAGATAAGCTAGTGTCAGCTATACTAGTGTAAGATGAGCTAGTGTCAGCTAAACTAGTGTAAGCAAAACTAGTACCAGCTAAGCTAGTGCAAGATAAGATAATGTAAGCTAAACTAGTGTACACTAGTGTAAGCTAAGCTAGTGTAAGCCAAGCTAGTGGAGGTTAAACTAGTGTAAACTAAGCTGGTGTAAGCTAAACCGGTGTAAGCTAAACTAGTGCAAACTAAGCTAGTGTAAGTTAAACTATCTTGTAATAATAATAATCATTAATAATAATTATCTTGTAGTGTCAGCTAAGCTGGAATAAGATAAGATAATGTAAGATAAGATACTGTAAGATAGTGCAAACTAAACTAGTGTAAGACAAACTAGTGTAATCTAAACTAGTATAAGCTAAGTTAGTGTAACCTAAGTTAGTGTAAGATAAACAAGTGTAAGCTAAGCTAGAGTAAGCTAAGCTAGTATAAAGCTAAGATAGCGTAAGATAACCTGGTGTAAGATAAACTAATGTAAGCTAAGATAATGTAAGGTAAGCTCGTGTAAGGTAAGTTAGTGTAAGGTAATCTAGCGAAAGGTAAGATAGCGTAAAGTAATCTAGTGTAAAGTAATTAGCGTAAACTAAGATAGCATAAACTGAGACAGCATAAACTAAACTAGTGTAAGATAAAATAGTGTAAGATAAACTGGTGGAATATATACTAGTGTAAGATGAGATAGTGTAAATGTAAAGTAGTGTAAGCTGAGCTCGTGTATTGCTCAGCACCTTCAGTCTGATCGATGCTGGAGATGGTCCTGTTTTGCTCCTTGTGTGTCACACAAAGTAACACTGAGTCGCTGCAGCCGCATTCTTTATCCAGCTGTGATTTATTTGACTCTGATTATGTTCTTTACCCCTCACTAAGCTTCTCTGAGATGCATTCTCCCATCATTATTAAGCCCATTGCAACACGTTCTATATTAGTCCTAGCCTTTTATTGTGTATGAGGTCTTGTCTCAGGAACTTGTTTACAAGAACCTATTAAAAAGTTTCACATTACATCAAAAAGTAAATCACACAAAATGATGTGAAAATTACACATCATTTCCATCTAGCTCTACAAACAGGCAAGGCAGTCTCTGTGTTTTATGATCTCTTGGCAGTGTTGTTTTTTTTTAAAAAGTCAAGATTGGATTAAAGCCAGTTTAAGTGTTGGATTCCAACAAATATCTGTGGAATTTCCATGTGTAGGTGGGATACATGGAATTCTCAGTTTGGTTTGGATTCCCTTAAGCACGGTGATGGGTTTCCACATGTGTCAGACACCCGGCTGAGGAAAAGAAAGAGTTAGATTTTGTGGGTCACATGATAAGGATGGTAAACAACAGTACTGTATGTGAAAGATTATTTTGATTTATGTTTCATCCCTTCATCAAACTGAATATTAATAAACTTAACAGCCATAGAAAAGGCACAGAGAGAGTGAGATGTCACAATGTGCAGCCTGGCAGAACTCACGCGGATGCTTTGCTGGGATAGTTGAAGTTTATCTTGCTGAATTTCATCCATTTCATTAATAGATACCACATGATACCACGTGAAAATCTTTTGTTCAAAGATAAAATAGGTCATGACCAGAGATCCAAATGAACTCTGAATCTAGATTTGTATTGAATCCAGGTTAGAACTCTAAAACATGAATAAAGCTCTGCCGTTACAAAGAAAGATGCGTTGTTACATTTCCAGATGTTTGGAACCAATATCTATGGAGGATTGTAGTCAGCTTTCAATAGATTAGAAAGGAAATGCTTCACCACATTCTGCTCCCCCATGGAATGCTTCCTAGTGTAGTTATTTCCCCTTTGGCCATGACTAGACCGTGGTTTAACTTTTATGACGGAATCCACATACTTCACCTAATTTTGCTGACTGGCTTTTGAGCATGTTTCTGGACTAAGCATACTACCTGAGGGTGATTCCTATGTCCTTAGGTCAATAGTAAAACAGCACCTAACGATAGAGATTAATTATATTCATAGAATTCCTTCATTTTCAATTGTTAAAGGAGCAGTCTGTCTGTTTGCCAAGCCTGGGTTAATTTCCAAACATGTAACTTGCGGATTTAAACCTGATATTGCTTAGTGAAATGGCTGGGAATGTCCGCCAAAGCCGAAGGCCTGGTGAGGAGCAGGAATGTTGCTAGGATTGTGGAGATTTTTTTTGGAGCATTTAAAGTAATTATGTCATACTGAAAACTCAATAATTACAAACTAATGTTAACACTTGCCCAGTTTCTTTCAAACCTAGTTGCCGTATGCTAAGCACTCTACAATCAACACTTATTAATTTCCAGCAAACACATGTAGTGTTGTGTTGTCTCCTGCACATCTGTGGTTCAGTCCTATCTGTAGAGCTGTAATAAGCCACACGGCCGCATGTGGCAAGAAGGGGATGAAGGATATAAAAAAGGGAGTGAAGATTGAAATGGACATGCTGTGCTGACTTATATAACCTGTATCTCCTTTTATTTTCAGATATTAATGAATGTGAGACTAATCCCTGTATCAATGGGAATTGTAAGAATACGATTAGCTCCTACTTATGTGAGTGTTTCCCAGGAAGTACCCTCGACGCCTCTGGAAATCTGTGTATTGGTATGACACTTGCTCTAGTTTTAACTTTTGCTTTTTTTAAAATTTTGTTCATTTCCCAGAGAGTTGTTAGGGTCTGGAATGCGCTGCCTGAAAGGGCAGTGGAAACAAATTCAATAGCAACTTTCAAAAGGGAATTGGATAGGGACTTGAAAAGGAAAAATTTGCAGCCTGTGGGGTAAGAGCGGGTGAGTAGGACTAGCTGGATAGCTTTTTCAAAGAGCCAGCACAGGCCGATGGGTTGAATGGCTGTAAGACTCTATCACTCAAACCTGAACTGTTGTAATCGTGTTGAACATTGGCAAATCAAAATGTAAAAGTGCAACGCAAATTATACTGAGCTGACAGTGATCGTGACTTGAAGAATTGTAAACTGATCACCAGCAGTGAGAACCCCTGTCGTCTATTCACATCTTAAAATTACATGTGAAGCGCTTTCAGATGTTTCAGTGTTCTATTTCGCAACTGCAAATAGCTGTATGGACCAAAAATTTCTCATCCTGATCTCTGGTGAGTTAACCAACCTCAGCTGGGCAGCATTGGAATCGCATTTGTCATAGCAACCCAGGCTTTGCAGTGGGAAAATCGGTCATGTTTATGGTGCTCTAACATAGGGGCTATCTAACAGTTAGGTTTATAGTACAGTGGCATCTGGCTATTATAGAATCATAGAATCGTACAGCACAAAAAGAGGCCATTCGGCCCATCGAGTCTGTGTCGGCTCTTTGAATAGAGCAATTAAAGTCAATCCCACTCCCCGGCCCTTTCCCCATAACCTGCAAACCCGTCCTCAAATACCCGTCCACCGCGTTTTTAAAAGTAGTTATCGAATCAGCCTCAACTGCCCTTTCAGGCGATGCGTTCCAGATTCGAACAACTTGCTGCGTGAAAACATTTCTTCTCACCTCCCCTCGGCTTCTTTTAGAGACTATTGAAACTCATCTGTCATGTGTCGCCCATTTTACCATTCTGTCTATGTCTTCCTGTCGTTGGCTCCTATCCTTCTCACTGTTTACCCCCTCCCTAACTTTGTGTCGTCCGCAAACTTGGAAATGGTACTTGCTATACCCAAGTGCAGATCATTTATGTATATTAAGAAGAGCAGTGGTCCTAATACCGATCCCTGGGGGACACCACTGTACACTTCCCATCAGTCAGAAAAGCAGCCGTTCACCACCACTCTCTGCTTTCTGTCTCCCAGTGAGTTCTGGATCCGCTGCCACTGTCCCTTTTATACCGTGGACTTCTATCTTTCTTACAAGTCTTTCATATGGCACTTTGTCAAATGCCTTTTGAAAGTCCATATAAACTACATCAACTGCACTACCTTTTTCCACCCTCTCCGTTACCTTATCAAAAAATTCTATTAGATTTGTTAGACAAGATCTGCCTTTAACAAATCCGTGCGACTGTCCCTAATTAACGCATATTCTTCTAAGTGAAGATTTATTCTGTCCTGGATTATAGTCTCCAGGAGTTTCCCCACTGCTGATGTTAGGCACTGGCCTGGAGTTCCCAGGTTTGTCCTTCTGTCCCTTTTTGTACAAGAGAGTCACATTGGCCACTCTCCAGTCCTCTGACACCACTCCTGTGTCCAACAAAGATTGAAAAATTGTAGTCAAAGCCTCCGCTATTTGTACCCGTGCCTCCCATAGTAACCTCGGCTGCATCCCGTCCGGACCGGGCGACTTATCTACCTTCAGCCCAGTCAACCTTTTCAGTACTTCCTCTCTGTTTATACTAATCGTATCCATTTCCTCTCCCCTCTCCTCCGATACTGCGGCATTTGGTGCATCCACTTTTGTGAAGACAGATGCAAAGTACTCATTCAGCACATCAGCCACGCCCTCTGCCTCCACAATGAGATTTCCGCCTTGGTGCTTAATTGACCCCACCCTACCTTTGACTAACCTTTTTTTCTTGATATATATCCGGAACATCGCAGACTACGGCACTACCTCACCCCTCACGCGGCTGAAACTCTGGTCCACGCCTTTATCACCTCAAGGCTGGACTATGGGAACTCTCTCCTCGCCGGCCTTCCCGGCCCTCCCTCCACACTGCAGGTCATTCAGAACTCTGCAGCTCGTGTACTGTCCCACACCAGACACCGCCACCACATCACTCCCACCCCCACCCTCGTCCTCACCCTCACCCTCGCCCTCGCCCTCACCCTCGCTCGCCTCCACTGCTCCCCATCCCCCAGAGGATCGAATTCAAGATCCTCATCCTCACCTATAAGGCCATTCCTGGCCTCGCTCCCTCCTACCTCTCTGACCTACTATCCCCCACCTACCTGCCCGTACCCTCCGTTCCTCTGGCTCCGGTCTGCTCCACATCCCCCGCCCCAACCGCACTACCATCGGTGGTCGGGCTCTCAGCCCCGAGGCTCTGGAACTCTATCCCCAGTGCCTTCGCCGCCTCCTCCCTTTCCTCCTTCAAGGGCGGTCTCAAGACCTTTCTCTTTGACCTTCAGCCTTCAGCTCCCCTCTCGACTCTCTACCCCCTCCTCGCCCCCTCCCTCCCTTCCCTCCCCCTGACCATTCTCCCCCTCCTCACTCCCTCCCTTCCCTCCCCCTGACCATTTCCCCCCTCCTCGCTCCCTCCCTTCCTTCCCCTCACCCTGACCATTTCCCCCCTGCTCGGGTCCTGACCCAACTGTGCAGCGCTTTGGGACGTCCTCCCGACGTGAAAGGCGCTCTATAAATGGAATCTTGTTGTTGTTGATATGTTTGTAAAATATTTTAGGATTCCCTTTAATGTTACCCGCTAACCTTTTTTCGTATAATCTTTTTGCCCCTCTTATGTCCTTTTCCAAACCTCGTCTGCACTTCCTATATTCTGTTTGGTTGTCTTCTGTATCTTGGGTTTGACATTTATCATACGAGTGTATGACAAATATAGTGAGTGTGCTGTATGATAGCGGTTACATGAAAGGTATTCTGAGGCAGTTTATTAATCTAGAAATGTATTTTGCTGGTTACAGAGACAGTTAAAGGAACGTGCTGGTTACAGATCATCAATGAACAATGTGAAGTTAATATCAACGGAGCCACACTGAAGTCGCAGTGCTGCTCCACCCTGGGCGCTGCCTGGGGAAGTCCCTGCATGTCTTGTAAGATAGGTAATGGCACATTCCAATAATAATAATGTTTGTATTTGATATAAGACTTACAGAAAAAAGGTCTTGAAAATGAAGACTGTTTAAGAATTTACCAAATTTTCAGCAGTCTGTAATCTACATCAACAGAGTGGAATTCCTGCCCACATATCACTGATTCTCACAGTTTCCAGTACCCATTACCTTACAGGAGAGGTTTCACTTGACTGTTTTCCTTTTTGTTTCAGACAGCGTCTGTCCTAGAGGTTATACACGAGTTAATGGCACCATCTGTGACGGTAGGTAGTGCTTTCGTTATGTTATTCTGCTCTCTGTTTCTGGGAAATTAATGTGTTTAAATCTGAATCCCAGGATATGTGTGTTTCTTTCAGTGACAAATATAAATGAGAGAATTGGAGAGAATTAAATAAAACATTATTGTGATAAGCCATGTTTGTGATATCAATGGCAGGCTATGCGGTTTTAGCTGGTTAGACTTAAGCAGTTACCCTAATGTACACTCTGGGGTCTCCAAGCCTTGGCTCTTGCCAATCTGCGCCTAATACTTTCCAGAATTAGGTAAACAGGATATATCCCTCCAGGGAGAGAGTGCACATTCCAATCTATTTCCATGTATAAGTGGGATGCATGGAATTCTCAGTTTAGTTTGGATACTTTTAAGCATGGTGATGTGTTTCTGCATGTGTCAGGCTGACCACTGAAAATTGAAGCCATAAGGATGCCATTTATTATTGATATCCTCAAAGACTGTGGTCACAAATGTGATCGTGATTAGACTGACTTGTAGCCTTTTACAATGGCTATTACACTACTGAGCAACACAGACAACTTCAATAATAATAATAAGCCTTGCATTTGATATAGCGCTTATCACATCTTCGAGGTAGCTAATTGCACACAGCTGGCATCCCACAAACATTGGTGGATTGAGTGACCAAATTATTATTATTACCCCAGAAAGTGATCCGCCAATTGATTAATAACTGGGATCCCACTTACTGCTAGGTAACAGAGGCGTGTGGAGTAAGGAAACTTACCTAAGGTTTCGCCCTGCCCGGGAATCGAACCTGTGTCCTCTCGCTTGTGAGCTAGGTGAGCTAGTCACTACCCTACAGGTTTCCACCGTGAGCTGCATGAACAGCAAGAACCCATTGCCATTGACTGGATATTGCTCACGGCTTTAAAACCTTTAAGTCAGCTTTGCCAGTGTATTTCAGTCTCCTAAAGTGAACAATCCAGGCAGTATTTGGGTAATTGGAATCTTTGCCCAATTCACACTCTTTACCTCCTAATGTTTAGTGTGTGACAGAATGATTGTAATGTAATCTGAGGCTGATCCCTTTCACCTGTGCAGATGTGAATGAATGTAAAGTCTTCCCCGGGGTCTGCGCCAACGGCGACTGTGTCAACACAGCGGGATCATTCCAGTGTCTCTGTTCGCATGGCATGACCCTGGACAGCAGTGGACGCACATGTGTCGGTATGTAGAGACTCTTGTTACAGTCACAACACCAACCAACCTCAACATTACAGAGACCACAGGTACTGGCAGGGTCTTTGACATGAGGCTTCAATGATTGGGCTTCAGTGAAATCTGGTGTCAATCACCTAATGGACTGAATTCTCTTGAGTGTAAAAGACCAGAGGCTAAGGTGAGGGAAGGGGTTGGGAGACCGAGCGTAGAAGGTCAATGTTGAATTGAGACTAACAACTTGGAAGCTATCTACAGTACCTTGGTGTACCTCAATCATTGTGGAAACCTAACAGCTAGCACCGTCCACAGTCAGGGTCAGGTCCCTGTAACACATACAGTGAGGAGCAGCTGATGAAAGATTTGACTATGTCATGAGCAGTTACAGAAACCTCCTGATTGTCAGGTTTATTCTGTGAATAAATAAAGACTTGAATATTGCTCTGGCCCATTACTGTGCAGTCCCTACTTGTTTGTATTCTATCAAACAATGGACTAAAAGGTTTGAGCTAACAGTGAGGTTTTGACCAGAAATTATCCTAAAATTACTGGTGATCAGAACTCCAAACACTTGGCAGTGCTTTATGGCCATGTTTAGTCTGTTTTTTTTAAAAAGACTTCTGTTTTCTCACACATTTAAGATTTTCACAAGTTCAGTAATAGAAAGTTATTCTTTACTTGCAACACATATGTGCCAAATACACATACTCTCCAATCCTTCCAACATATGGAGATGAAACAACTCAAACAGGCTAACTTCAGTCAGAAATGGGCTGATAACAGAGGAATGCCTTGGATTCAGTCAGAGGCAGTACTATTTACTACAGTCATTTCTAGGTATCATGTTTCTCAAAAATTAATCCACTCATGATTATCATAATTTATTCAAACTAATGGGATTAAGGGATATGGGGATTAGGTTAGAAGATCAGCCATGATCTTATTAAATGGCGGGGCAGGCTCGAGGGGCTGAATGGCCTACTCCTGCTCCTATTTCTTATTATGTTCTTATGGAGGATCTTTTTAAAATAGTTTCCACTCCATCTCATTTTCTGTTTGAGTTGTTTCATGTTTAACTAGTATTTTCCACACCTTGCTCAGCCCACAGGTGTCCTGAAGCTGGAGAGAATCACTGGGTGCTCTGTTAGTATGGTCGGTGGGTGTGGCCGGTGGGTGTGGTTAGTTGGGTACGGCCGGTGGGTGTGGTCGGGTGTGGCCGGTGGGTATGGTCGGGTGTGGACGGTGCTTCTCCCTGATCCTAAGGCATTCACTGAGAAAGCTCCACACTCTCAATCTATAACAACAACAACTTGGGATTTATGTAGTGCCCTCCACGCCGGATGGCGTCTCAGAGCACTTTACAGTTTAGGATCCCGGGGCCGAGCCAGGGGGAGGGGGGAGCCAGGGGGGGGGGAGCCGGGGGGGGGGGGGGAGCCAGGGCGGGGGGAGCCAGGGGGAGGGAGCCAGGGGTGGGGGAGCCAGTGGTGGGGGAGCCAGGGGGAGGGGAGCCGGGGGGGGGGGGAAGCCAGGGGGGGAGCCAGGGGGAGGGGGGGGAGCCAGGGGGGGGGGAGGGAGCCAGGGGGAGGGGAGGGAGCCGAGGGAGGGCGGGAGCCAGGGGGAGGGGGGGAGCCAGGGGGAGTGAGGGGGAGGAGCAGGGGGAGGGGGGGAGCCGTGGAGGAGCCAGGGGAGGAGCCAGAGGGAGGGGGGAGAGCTGGGAGGAGCCAGGGGGAAGGGGCCAGAGGGAGGGGGGGAGCCAGGGGAAGGGAGGGAGCCAGGGGGAGAGGGGGGAGCCAGGGGGAGCAAGGGGGAGGGGGAGGAGCCAGGGGGAGGGGGAGGAGCCAGGGGGGAGCCAGGGGGAGGGGGTAGAGCCAGGGGGAGGGGGGGGAGCCAGTGGGGGAGCCAGGGGGAGGAAGGTGACCAAAGGCGCATTCGAAAAGAAAGGTCTTCAGTGGAGACCTGAAAATAGGAAGGGAGGGGACGAGGTGAAGGGAGTGAGGAAGGCAGTTCCAGAGCCTCGGGGCATAATAATAATAATAATAATCCTTGCATTTGATATAGCGCTTTTCACGTCGGGAGGACGTCCCAAAGCGCTTCACAGAACACACTGTAAAGTGAATTGACTGTACATTTGTGGGCGAACGCGGCAGCCAATTGCGCACAGCAATGTCCCACAAACAGTCGTAGATTGAAAATGACCAATTTATTATTGTTTTTGGTTTTGGAGGATTATTATTAGGCTCTGTGTGGAGTAAGGAAACTTGCCCAAGGTTTGGCTCTGACCCCCCGGGGATTGAACTCGGTCTCTCACTTGTAAAGCGAGTGCTCTGACCACTGAGCTTCAGGCCTCCACTACTACAGGCTGAAGGCATGGCCTCTGGAGGGTGGAACGGAGGAACGGGTACTGGTACAGCTCCCAGGCAATGGGTACTGTGCTGAGGAGAGAGGTCAGAGAGGTCGGGGGGTGCAGAGGAGCGCAAGGACTTGAATATGAGGTGAGGGTCTTGAAGTGGATCCTCTCTGGGACAGGAGCCGGTGCAGTCTGGACAGGACTGGGGGGATCGGGAGTGGGGTTTGGGTGTGGGGGGAGGGCCAGGACTGGGGGGATCGGGAGTGGAGTTTGGGTGTGGGGGGAGGGCCAGGACTGGGGGGATCGGGAGCGGAGTTTGGGTGTGGGGGGAGGGCCAGGACTGGGGGGATCGGGAGCGGAGTTTCGTGCGGCTGAGAATGCAGGCGGCAGAGTTTTGTATGACCTGGATTTTATGGATGGTAGTGGAGGGGAGATCGGCGAGGAGGGCGTTTGAATAGTACAATCTAGTTTGGATTCTCTTAAGCACCTCAGTCACTAACCCCCGACACGTCTCTGCTCCAAAAGAAAGAGTCTTAACCTTGCTATCCTCCTTGTTACCTCTCCTCCCAACTGTATTCTTTCATCTCTAGTTGATGTTCGTCAACTGATGCTGTGCCCTCTCCATCGCTAACATTGACTATGTAGAGAAGAGGGAGGTCCTACCATTGATCGTTGATATGTAGAGAACAAGAAAGATACCAACACCAATCTCTGAGGCACACCACTAATCAATCTGTCAATCAGAAACACATGCTTTGATTCCCACTCTCCTTCACTCTCTCCACTTTCCGCGCTCTTCACTGTCACTAATCCTTTATCAACCACTGCTTCAGGCAGTGAGTTCTGCAATCTCACTACACTTTGTGTGAAGTAGTTTCTCCTAAGTTCTCCCTTAGATCCCCTAGTCGCTATCTTATTCTTCTGCCCTCTGGTTACAGATCCCCTAACCTGTAGGAACAGGCTAATTATGTTAAGCAGTAGCGATCCTAACACTGATCCCTACAGCACACCACTTCTCACTTCTTGTCAGCCTCAGAAGATGCTCTTAACTCTTGCCCTTTGAGGTAACCTAATCCTTAACTCCCAACCGTTCTTTAATTCATTCTGCTACTCCTCCCACAATTCCACAAACCCTGATTTTAGTTATGAGCCTCTCAGGTGATACTTTATCAAACACCTTCTGAAAATCCAAATGCATTGTATTTCAAAATGCATTTTCCTCATCAATTTGTATCAACTACATCTTCAAAGAATTCGATAAGGTGATGAATGACTTTCCTTTCATAAATTTAAGCTGATTGCTCTTAATTATACTTTCCTTTTACAGGTGACTAATTACTTTACCTTTTTATGGTTACAGTTGTTGTCAAAAGTGTTAGAGTTTCCAGATTTTTCCCAAGTTTTTCTTGGATCTGTGACTCACGGCCTGTCTTTGCCCTGTGCCCTGGCAGATTTGCGTTTGGAGTACTGCTACCTGAGGCACGATGACGAGGAGGAATGCACCATCCCAATGCGGGGACGCTTTCGGGTTGATGCTTGCTGCTGTTCTGTGGGTGCTGCCTGGGGCCCGGATTGTGACAAATGTCCAGAGGAAGGCAGTGAGGAGTTGCTGGCTCTGTGTCCTCGGGGGAGAGGCTTTTCTAGAAAAGGAGAAATTGATGGAAAACCGTTCTACAAAGGTAAAATCATCGCTTCAAAAATAGATATTCTGTGTTTTAAAATGTAATAAAATTAAGTGAAGCATCGACATTAGCAAATTGAAGCACATAGTCGCTCAGTGCTGAGCCACTTGCTCTACAATAAAGGTTTTCATCTCAGCCTCAGGGGCTATTTGTCTCATAGTAATCCTGAGCTCCAGCTTGTGATTGCTGTACATGAAGGACATTTGTTTAGACTCTCTCACTGCCAGGTCTCAGTGGGCTGGGAGTTTTCTCAGACCATGTTCAGGTTTAGAGATGAAGAAAGGCCTCATCACCCGCTTCTGGAGAGGATGGTATGCTACCTGCAAACATGCTGCTCAGCCAAGGATTGGGCTTCAGTCTGTGACTGTGGTAACAGATGGACCAGAATCTATTATATTCATCAATGACACAATTGTGATCAATCTAAGAATGTTGTGTTTCTGGGTGAGACTTGACAGTGAATTATGGCTTTCACTCTAGCAGGAATTTAACAAGTGAAATGGCTGATATTGTGTTGACATAAACACATATATGGCCTTTGTGATCAGTGACTTGAAAGATTCTCGCATTATCACTCAGCCAAAGAAGGGAATCGATTTTCTTGCTTTGCCTGACCTTTTTTACATCTTTGTATTCCATTATTACATATGCCATCAGTTAGTCACTCAGACAGTCCATCAGCCAGTGTCAGTCATTGTCTGTCAATCAGTGTAAGTCAGTGTCAGTCAGTCAGTGTCTGTCAATCAATGTCAGTCAGTGCCAGTCAGTATCAGTGAATCAGTGTCAGTCAATGTCAATCAGTGTCATCGGTCAATGTCAATCAGTGTCAGTCAGTCAGTGTCAGTCAGTCAATGTCAATCAGTGTCATCGGTCAATGTCAGTCCGTGTCTGTCAGTCAGTGTCAGTCAACGTCAGTCAGTGTCTGCCAGTCAGTCAGTGTCAATCAGTGTCAGTCACTCAGTATCAGTCAGTCAGTGTCTGTCAGTGTCAGTCAGTGTCTGTCAGTGTCATTCAGTGTCAGTCAGTGTCACTCAGTCAATGTCAATCAGTGTCTGTCAGTCAGTCAGTCAGTCAGCGTCAGTCATTGTCTGTCAATGTCAGTCAGAATCAGTCAGTGTCAGTCAGTCAGTGTCTGTCAGTGTAGTCAGTCCGTGTCTGTCAGTTTCAGTCAGTCAGTGTCAATCAGTGTCAGTCACTCAGTATCAGTCAGTGTCTGTCAGTGTCAGTCAGTGTCTGTCAGTGTCATTCAGTGTCAGTCAGTGTCACTCAGTCAATGTCAATCAGTGTCTGTCAGTCAGTCAGTCAGTCAGCGTCAGTCATTGTCTGTCAATGTCAGTCAGAATCAGTCAGTGTCAGTCAGTCAGTGTCAGTCAGTCAGTGTCAGTCAGTGTCAGTCAGTCAGTGTCAGTCAGTCAGTGTCAGTCAGTCAGTGTCAGTCAGTCAGTGTCTGTCAGTCAGTCAGTCAGTGTCTGTCAGTGTCAGTCAGTGTCAGTCAGTGTCTGTCAGTCAGTGTCAGTCAGTAGCACTCAGTCAGTCAATATCAGTCATTGTCAGTCACTCAGTGTCAGTCAGTGTCAGTCAGTCAGTCAGTGTCAGTCAGTCAGTGTCAGTCGGTCAGTGTCTGTCAGTCAGTGTCAGTCAGTGTCAGTCAGTCAGTGTCTGTCAGTCAGTATCAGTCAGTGTCTGTCAATGTCAGTCAGAATCAGTCAGTGTCTGTCAGTCAGTGTCAGTCAGTAGCACTCAGTCAGTCAATATCAGTCATTGTCAGTCACTCAGTGTCAGTCAGTGTCAGTCAGTCGGTCAGTGTCAGTCAGTCAGTGTCAGTCGGTCAGTGTCTGTCAGTCAGCGTCAGTCAGTGTCAGTCAGTCAGTGTCTGTCAGTCAGTCAGTGTCTGTCAATGTCAGTCAGAATCAGTCAGTGTCTGTCAGTCAGTGTCAGTCAGTAGCACTCAGTCAGTCAATATCAGTCATTGTCAGTCACTCAGTGTCAGTCAGTGTCAGTCAGTCAGTGTCAGTCAGTGTCAGTCAGTCGGTCAGTGTCAGTCAGTCAGTGTCAGTCGGTCAGTGTCTGTCAGTCAGCGTCAGTCAGTGTCAGTCAGTCAGTGTCTGTCAGTCAGTCAGTGTCTGTCAATGTCAGTCAGAATCAGTCAGTGTCTGTCAGTCAGTGTCAGTCAGTAGCACTCAGTCAGTCAATATCAGTCATTGTCAGTCACTCAGTGTCAGTCAGTGTCAGTCACTCAGTGTCAGTCAGTTTCAGTCAGTCAGTGTTAGTCATTCAGTGTCAGTCGGTCAGTATCTGCCAGTCAGTGTCTGTCAATGTCTTGTCAGTCAGTGTCTGTCTGTCAGTTTCTGTCAATGTCAGTCAGTGTCTGTCTGTCAGTGTCTGTCAATGTCAGTCAGTGTCTGTCAGTCAGTCAGTCAGTCAGTCAGCGTCAGTCATTGTCTGTCAATGTCAGTCAGAATCAGTCAGTGTCAGTCAGTCAATGTCTGCCAATCAGTATCTGTCAGTCAGTGTCTGTCAATGTCTTGTCAGTCAGTGTCTGTCTGTCAGTTTCTGTCAATGTCAGTCAGTGTCTGTCAGTCAGTGTCAGTCAATGTCTGTCAATGTCAGTCAGTGTCTGTCAGTCAGTGTCTGTCAGTCAGTGTCAGTCAGTCAGTGTCAGTCAGTCAGTGTCAGTCAGTCAGTGTCTGTCAGTCAGTGTCTGTCAGTCAGTGTCTGTCAGTCAGTGTCTGTCAGTGTCAGTCAATGTCTGTCAGTCAGTGTCAGTCAGTGACTGTCCGTCAGTGTCAGTCAGTGTCAGTCAGTCAGTTGTCAGTCAGTCAGTATCAGTCAGTGTCAGTCAGTCAGTGTCAGTCAGTCAGTGTCTGTCAGTGTAGTCAGTCCGTGTCTGTCAGTTTCAGTCAGTCAGTGTCAATCAGTGTCAGTCACTCAGTATCAGTCAGTGTCTGTCAGTGTCAGTCAGTGTCTGTCAGTGTCATTCAGTGTCAGTCAGTGTCACTCAGTCAATGTCAATCAGTGTCTGTCAGTCAGTCAGTCAGTCAGCGTCAGTCATTGTCTGTCAATGTCAGTCAGAATCAGTCAGTGTCAGTCAGTCAGTGTCAGTCAGTCAGTGTCAGTCAGTGTCAGTCAGTCAGTGTCAGTCAGTCAGTGTCAGTCAGTCAGTGTCAGTCAGTCAGTGTCTGTCAGTCAGTCAGTCAGTGTCTGTCAATGTCAGTCAGAATCAGTCAGTGTCTGTCAGTCAGTGTCAGTCAGTAGCACTCAGTCAGTCAATATCAGTCATTGTCAGTCACTCAGTGTCAGTCAGTGTCAGTCAGTCGGTCAGTGTCAGTCAGTCAGTGTCAGTCGGTCAGTGTCTGTCAGTCAGCGTCAGTCAGTGTCAGTCAGTCAGTGTCTGTCAGTCAGTCAGTCAGTGTCTGTCAATGTCAGTCAGAATCAGTCAGTGTCTGTCAGTCAGTGTCAGTCAGTAGCACTCAGTCAGTCAATATCAGTCATTGTCAGTCACTCAGTGTCAGTCAGTGTCAGTCAGTCGGTCAGTGTCAGTCAGTCAGTGTCAGTCGGTCAGTGTCTGTCAGTCAGCGTCAGTCAGTGTCAGTCAGTCAGTGTCTGTCAGTCAGTCAGTGTCTGTCAATGTCAGTCAGAATCAGTCAGTGTCTGTCAGTCAGTGTCAGTCAGTAGCACTCAGTCAGTCAATATCAGTCATTGTCAGTCACTCAGTGTCAGTCAGTGTCAGTCAGTCAGTGTCAGTCAGTGTCAGTCAGTCGGTCAGTGTCAGTCAGTCAGTGTCAGTCGGTCAGTGTCTGTCAGTCAGCGTCAGTCAGTGTCAGTCAGTCAGTGTCTGTCAGTCAGTCAGTGTCTGTCAATGTCAGTCAGAATCAGTCAGTGTCTGTCAGTCAGTGTCAGTCAGTAGCACTCAGTCAGTCAATATCAGTCATTGTCAGTCACTCAGTGTCAGTCAGTGTCAGTCACTCAGTGTCAGTCAGTTTCAGTCAGTCAGTGTTAGTCATTCAGTGTCAGTCGGTCAGTATCTGCCAGTCAGTGTCTGTCAATGTCTTGTCAGTCAGTGTCTGTCTGTCAGTGTCTGTCTGTCAGTCAGTGTCTGTCTGTCAGTGTCTGTCTGTCAGTCAGTGTCTGTCAGTCAGTCAGTCAGTCAGTCAGTGTCAGTCATTGTCTGTCAGTGTCAGTCAGAGTCAGTCAGTGTCAGTCAGTCAGTGTCTGTCAGTCAGTGTCTGTCAGTCAGTGTCTTGTCAGTCAGTGTCTTGTCAGTCAGTGTCTGTCAGTCAGTCTCAGTCAATGTCAGTCAGTGTCTGTCAGTCAGTGTCAGTCAGTGTCTTGTCAGTCAGTGTCTGTCGGTCAGTGTCTGTCAGTCAGTGTCTGTCAGTCAGTGTCAGTCAGTCAGTGTCAGTCAGTCAGTGTCTGTCAGTCAGTGTCTGTCAGTCAGTGTCTGTCAGTCAGTGTCTGTCAGTGTCAGTCAGTGTCTGTCAGTGTCTGTCAGAATCAGTCAGTGTCTGTCCGTCAGTGTCAGTCAGTGTCACTCAGTCAGAATCTGTCAGTCAGTCAATATCAGTCAGTGTCAGTCAGTCAGTGTCAGTCAGTGTCGGTCAGTGTCAGTCAGTCAGTGTCAGTCAGTCAGTGTCTGTCAGTCAGCGTCAGTCAGTGTCAGTCAGTCAGTGTCTGTCAGTCAGTCAGTGTCTGTCAATGTCAGTCAGAATCAGTCAGTGTCTGTCAGTCAGTGTCAGTCAGTAGCACTCAGTCAGTCAATATCAGTCATTGTCAGTCACTCAGTGTCAGTCAGTGTCAGTCGGTCAGTATCTGCCAGTCAGTATCAGTCAGTGTCAGTCAGTCAATGTCTGCCAATCAGTATCTGTCAGTCAGTGTCTGTCAATGTCTTGTCAGTCAGTGTCTGTCTGTCAGTTTCTGTCAATGTCAGTCAGTGTCTGTCTGTCAGTGTCTGTCAATGTCAGTCAATGTCTGTCAATGTCAGTCAGTGTCTGTCGGTC